CCTGCGGAACGCCACTTGTTACAGATCCCCACTCAGGATTTAACCCCATTTATGCACATCTTTGCGTCCTATAGTGGAGCCAGACTCGATCCAATAAAGCACTTTTCTCCCAGTGCCGTGAGCAGCACTTTCTTCAAAAAAATCTAAATAAACAATATCGAATTCTTTATCCTGATCAACGGCCTCAAAAGCTTTGCTGGAGAAGGTTAAATTAGTTAGGCAGGAACGGCCCCGCGTGAAACCATGTTGAGTATCATTAATCAAATTATGCCTATCCAGATGGCTTCTTATATTATCGCTATAATTGACTCTAGTAATTTGCCTACAATGAGGTTAGGTTACTGGGCGGCCTGTATTTGATGGTAACGACTTGTCCCCTGATTTAAAAATAGGAATTACATTAGCCATCTTCCACATATCAGACACTACACCTGTTTGAAGAGATAAATTAAAAATATTAGTTAAAGGTTCATAGAGATCCATTTTGCATTCCTTAAGAATCCTTGAAAAAAGAGCATCAGAACCAGGCGATTTATTTTGCTTCTAAAGGTCAATCTGTTTGATAACCATTTCGCTAGTGACTGTGATATTACATAATTTATCTTCTTCAGGCCCACTAAAAACGTAATTATTGGGACATTATTAGTGTCTTCCTGAGTGAAATCCGAGAGAAAACAATTATTAAAAATAGAGCACATTTCATTCTCTTTGTCAGTAAGAACTCCATATTTATTTTTAAGGGGACCTATCTTATCTCTAACTTTTGTTCTATACACCTGGAGAAAACTTTTAGGGTTAGATTTCGATTCCCTAGCAACTTTAATTTCATAGTCCCGTTTAGCTTTTCTTATCCCCTTCTTAACGTTCCTCTTAATGTCAATTAAGAAGGACCTTACCTCTTTTGATATGCCTATAAATTCCTTACTTCTGCCCTAACAGATATTTGAGCCTATTATTCATCCATTTTGGGTCATTTTTAATCCATCTAATTTCTTTGTATGGGATAAATGTTCTTTGGGCAGCATGTATAGTGTTCAGAAAACTGTCATACTGATAGTTCTCTTCGATACCCCAGTCCACAGATGACAAGTGTTCTCTAAGCCCATTGTAATATGCTAAGCGAAAATCTGGGACCGTTACTGAGTTATCCCTACTGTAATACTTCCATTCAGTGCTAAAGGTAATTGATTTATGATCGCTTGTGTCATGGAGAAGATTATCATGGGAAGAGTGGTGGAGCACCTAGAAAGGATTGAGCTTGCCAACGACAACCAGCAAGATTTCAGGGATGGGAAATCCTGTATCACAAACCTTCTGGAGTTCTATGACAGGGTGACAGCAGTAAGACAAGAGAGAGAGAGAGAGAGAGGTGGGTAGATTGTGTTTTCTTGGACTGTTAGAAGGGTTTTGACACAGTTACACACAAGAGATTAATGCAAAACATGAAGGACCAGGCAGGTATAAGAGGAAAGGCACTGCAATGGATCAAGGATTACTTGACTGGATGACATCAGCGAATCATGGTACATGACGATGTGTCAGAGTGGGTGCCTGTGATGAGCGAGGTTCCACAGGAGTCAGTCCTAGGACCGGTGCTATTTCTGGTATATGTTAACATGATGGAAGGGATAGACTCAGAAGTGTCCCTGTTTGCAGACGATGTGAAGTTAATGAGGAGAATTCTTTCAGAGAAGAACCAGGCAGGACTACAAAAGGATCTAGACAAGATGAAGGCCTGGCCCAGAAATTGGCTCCTGGGGTTCAACCCCTTCAAGTGCAAAGTCATGAAGATTGGGGAAGGGCAAAGAAGACTGCAGACGGAGTACAGTTAAGTGGGTCAGAGACTACAAACCTCACTCAAGGAAAATGATCTTGGGGCGAGTGTAACATCGGGCACATCTCCTGAGGTGTATATCATTTTGCATGACTGCTGGAGCATAGGGCGCCAAGTGAACCTAAGGGGTTAAGAAAATTTTCCTGAAAAGAAAAAAGATCGAAAATTTATTTGGAAAAAGAAAATGTTTTAAACCGATAAATTTTGCATATTCTGGCAACATGTTGATCAATCACTTGTTTCTACATATTTCAAGTATCATTTTTCAAAAATGTATGTTTTTTGTCTTGCTGTAAAAAGAGGACAAAGCCAATTTGTTTTTTTATGTAAAAAATCCAATTTTATTATTGTTACACCTCCAAATGCCTACATGGCAATCTGTGACTCCATGATAAAGTTCCCAGAGCGAGAGCTGCTGAGTCAACAGACATCCCTACGATCCCTTTGGGGGAGGGGAACACTGCTTACTCACGATGTATTACTCAAATAGAGTAAAGATCCAACCAGCGAGTGGAAAAAATCAACGACTCAACTAAGCATCTTTCAACTTGCATCTGTCGTTATGGCAGATTGCAGGTTAAGTGCAATGTGATTTTATCACTCAAGAAGCCTTCATTGTCGTCTGTACCGAGGCTGAGAAACTACTCACCACTATGCTAATGTCCACTCCACAAGATCATGGATTCTCTGTTCAAATTCCCCAGCACTGAGGGCCAGAAGAACTGTGTTCCTCAAGAGACTCGACAGACTCATCACTAACAGACTACTAAAGAGATCAAGTTGTCCATTGAAGCAAATTACTCAAACCCACACTATTTGCAGATGACACTACATACGTCTTCTCTCACCCGAGCCAGTCACGCTAGCCAATACTGTAAAAAACCGAATTACAGAAAATATCTACCTGGATGAGGACTAACAAACTTACACTAAACATTGACAAAAACCTACTTCATTCAGTTTGGTAACAGAGCTATAGATGTCCCTCTTAACTAATGATAAATGGATCACCTATCACAAAACTAACAGAGGGAAAATTCTTAGGAATCCCCCTTTGATAATAGACCCCAAATTTCTTTACACATATACATCAAATTTCTAAGAAAATTTCCAAGACTGTAGGCATACTATCGAAGATACGGTACTATGTTCCACAGTCAGCCCTCCCCTGGCCCTATATCACTCCTTATTTACCCCTATCTCACCTATGGAATTTGTGCAGGGGCTCAACAACAATTAACCATCTCAGACCACTAATTACCCAACAAAAGGGCTGCAGTTAGAATGATAACAAATTCTCAATACAGGCAGCACACCCACCAATATTCAATACACTAAAAACCCACTCACCATACAAAACATCCATACTTATTACTGCACCTATTACATACATAGAACACTTAACTCTGATATTAACCCTCCCCTCAAACATCTCCTTGCCAACCTCAACAGAACACATGACCATAACACAAGGCACAGATCACTTTTTTGGGTGTTCCTCGTGTCCATCTCACACTATGCAAAAACTCAATGCACATAAAAGGCCCTAAAATCTGGAATTCATACCTGTAAATATAAAAGAAACACAACCTGTTTATAAATTCAAGTCTCTTCTCAAAGATTACTTACTCACCCAAAACCAAATAAATACTGAATAACTGAACATTATAAAATTGTATATCTTAAATGTTTCTCACAATTATATCACATAAATGTTTTAAAACCCAAAACCCAATCTAACTTTATTATTTTTTAAATACACTACCTAACAGAATCACTACCTAACTGAGTGCAACCATATGACCTGTCTTTGTAATACTCACTTGTGCTTTATAGTTTTTCTGTTTACATTAATGTATTATCACTGATTTCATCATTGCTTAGTAGCGCGCGCTGTATAGTCCTTGTGGCTTAGCGCTTCTTTTTGATCATAATAATAATTATAATAATCATTGCTTAGTTAATCTTAAGTTAATTTTAAGCCAGCCCGTAATGCTATGCATAGTATAAGTGGCTTTGGCATACTGCTCTTATCTGTATTTTTTTTGTACCCTGTATGTGTGCACAAATTGGAAATAAAAAAATAAATATAAAAAAAATAAATAAAAAAGAATCCCTGGGCCAAGGTGGAATTTCTTACCAAGATACCCAACGCCTCCTCCATGCTGAAGGTCACCTTCAGTGACGTCAACATGGCAGCCAGAGCCCTCGCTGAGGGCCTGGCTATACACTACTTCCATATCAATCCAGCCTTCATTGAAGCAGAAAAATACCAACAAATCCCACAGGCTATAATGTTACTCTTACCAGCATATCACCAAAAACTGCCCTGCCAAAGACAAGAAAATACTGCTCCACCTGTGGCCTTGAGGGCCACGACTACAAGAATTGCACTACTGCTTCCCCCCCACAATGCTTGAACTGCAAGGGTGACCACCATACTCTGCCGCCAGGTGCCCTATCAGAAGGGACATACTCAAGAAACAGCAGCAACAAAAGAAGTCCAAACCACAAGCACCCACATATTCTCTATTGCCAAGATTCAAGCAGACACTACCAAGATACTACAAGCCACGCAAGCTGCTCCTACCACTTTCCCCACAGCACCTGCTGCCGATCCCACCAAGATTCTATGTTTGCATCATGTATGCTCATGTACAGAATGCAGCTGAGCCTGGCTCCTTCAACACCACCATCAACGAAGTATTCAAACTAAACGACATGCCTGAACTCACATTCCCTGCATCACCACCTTCCAGTGAGATCCTACAGACCACTGCAAATATGGCCAGCATAACTGCTGTTCCACCACTGACACAACCTCCACTCGACATAGAGATGGACCAATCTGAGACCACTGATACGTCGGCAAATCCCACCAATGAGAGTCACCACCACCTGTCCTCCACCGCCACTGCAACTATCCAAGCCGAGGCCTTGCCTCGACACTTCAACCGCCAGCCAAGAAAGCTAGACTCAAGAACCAAGGGCTGCATCTCCCCATACCGCTACTACTGCTCCACCACAACAAGGAGCCAAGGTCAAGACTGCCAAAAATAAAGAACCAAGAGCTGCAGCTTCCCAGGCCACCACCAATCCCCCACGGCAACAAGAAGCCAAGGGCAAGAGTGGTGGACACTGCACAACCAACCAGAAGAAGAACCCAATGCGAACTCCAGAATGTGAGCAAGACATCAACGACATTGGGACACCCGAATTGGAACACTTTGCCAACCGTATCTACACCGTCCTCAGCAACGCTGAAATCGACCACGCAGCACTGAGGAACAGGCTGAATCAGATTGGTGCAGAGGGTAGCCCCCTCTAGCATTACCACCAAGACAAGTTTCCCCAGCACTTTGCTGTCTGCTAAAGCTGGGGTGTGGCTCCAATGGGACCCTGTTTTCTGCCTCTGCCAAACTGTGACATTGAAGATCCCAAGCAAGAAGACACTCCCCACTGGGGGAGTCAGTGCAAGATAGAAGAAGTTACCCTCCAACCGGAGGGCCCAAGAGAGAAGATAGAAGAATGAAGAAGAAGAACGACACCCCCGCCCCGGGGGCCACCGCCGGGTCACCATCTGGAGAAGACCCGGGCCGGAAATACCGGCAAATCTCTAACTAACTAACTAACTGCTGAGTCGACTGCGAGCTGCCGAGTTCAAAGGATTATAGTGTTTACCTGGAGTTTACCTGGAGAGAGTTCCGGGGGTCAACGCCCCCGCGGCCCGGTCTGTGACCAGGCCTCCTGTGTGCCGATATTTGGCGTGCAGTGACTAGAGACTTTTACAGAAAACGTAATATGTCTTTTACTCAGGAATAAGTTTATAGCCTCATCGAAAAGGAATAAGTTTACAGCCACAATTTTCAAAAACTGCTTGTCGGATTGTCATGATTTTTTGCACACTTTATTGGGGAATGATGGTTCTGCATCTCGTCAGCGTGGATTTATGATATTTTTTACTGTATTGTTTTTATTGATCCCCCCCCCCCAAATCCTTAAAAAAAATAAAAAAATTTCACTATGCAATCAACTGACACTTCACTCAAGTGCAGGTAGTCAAAGAATTTTTTAGACCTTTATATTTCTTCTGATGTCAACTGTAACACTGTACGTCTTAACAATTTTGTAAATGGTGGAGAGTTTAATGCCTTATAGAATAGGGCTCTATTCATTTTTTCTATCTATTCTATCTTTTAAGGCAAAATGTCACTATAAACACAATGTGCATGTTTCAAATGCTGCTTAAATCACAGCAAATTTTCGTTGAAATTTCTTTGATGTACACCATTAGGTCAGGCCTATATTGGAGTATGCAGTACCAGTTTGGAACCCACACCTATCCAAACATGTAAGGAAATTAGAGAAAGTGCAAAGGTTAGCAATGAGACTAGTCCCTGAGCTAAGGTGTATGTCTGACGAGGAGAGGCTAACGGAAATTGACCTGACTATGCTGGAGGACAGGAGAGATAGGGGGGGACAAGATAACAAATAAAATACTGAGAAGAATTAACAAGGTGGACAGAGACAGGGTGTTCCTGAGATGGGACATAGCAACGAGGGGTCACAGTTGAAGTTGAAGACTCAGATGAGTTACAGGGATGTTAAGAAGTATTTCTTTAGCCTTAGAAGTGGAATAATCTGGACAGTGAAATAGTGGAAGCAAATTCCATACAACTTTTAGAAGAGGTATGATAAAGCTCATGGAGCAGGGAGAGAGCGAATTAGTATCGACCACTGAAGAGGCGGGGCCAGGAGCTATGACTCGACCCCTGCAACCAAGTATAGGCGAGTACACACACACGATTATCAACACATTAATTACATGACAAAGTGTACTGTCGACATGATAAACGTTTATTATCGAATACTATTTTGGAGTATTCAAACTTGATTGGTTTATAATTGAGGCTGAAGATTGAGACACTTATGCAACATATGGGAATCTTTATTCAGGAAACGTTTCGCCACACAGTGGCTTCATCAGTCCGATACAAAGTAGAAAGGCGTAAGGAGAGGAGGAGTTTGAGGTAATCTCCGGCCCTATGCTGTACATTCTACAAGATTGATGGACTGAACACATCGACTCCAGGCTGAGGGACTGATTACCTCAAACTCCTCCTCTCCTTACGCCTTTCTACTTTGTATCGGACTGATGAAGCCACTGTGTGGCGAAACGTTTCCTGAATAAAGATTCCCATATGTTGCATAAGTGTCTCAATCTTCAACTTGTCGGTTTTTCAAACCATTCATCACACACACACATAATTGAGGCTATTGTTCATAACCTGAAGCCGGATTTCTTATGAATGCTTTGGATTATCTTAAGTGCCGTAGTTCCACACCGAGGATGTAGGGTATGTTTTTCTGTTTCCCTGTGTGTAGACCAGCGTCTGCTCATGATTTGGCTGAAATAGATAAACTACAGGTGTTTTCCTCTGGTTGAACTATAGATTTCTTCCTTTTGTTTAAAGTGAGAAGGCCGTAGATCCATTCTCTTGATATTACGGAATTTTTCTGACAAATTTTTCAAACATATCTATATTTTAGAATTTAATGTCATTGCTTGTGACTGGCTGTCTTCTAGTGCTTTTTAAAACTCTAAATTTTTGGCACCTGGCACTGGTATGCCTGGCGCCTCGTGTCTTTCCTCATTTCAGGTAGAACGTTTCCCTGAACTAATCTGCCTGGACTTCCTACTCATTTGCAACATTGTAAACGTCTGACGATATGTTTGATCGCAATACAAAAGGCCTAAGCTATCATTCAACTTTCCCTGTGTTTTTTTTATTATTGTCCAATCCAAAAAATTTTAAATTTTTATATACATAAATGTCAGTGAATACACACAAGGAAACATACAAATATCTAGTCACATGTTTTTTTAGATCGGTTCAATTTAAATATGTGTACCCTACGTGATGTAATAATTGTGTTTTACATTATGTTAAAAACACGTCGATATCCTTTCTTAACATTGTATAAAATTTCTTCCATAGTAACAATGTATATTTCCCGTATTATTTTTATATAATTATTTGTTTTGTAGTTTTTCTCTCTTTTAAAAACCCAAAAAAATATTAGAAACCCCTTTATTTACAAAATAACTGAACGTTATTTTTTTTCGGGGAACTTTGAATATTTCAAAGATCTAAGAAGTGACACTAAACTTTATGAATACTTAGAGAATATTAATTGTAGTTGAAGGGGCGCCTAGAAAAAAGAAATCCCCCCGTACTTCTTGCTGCCCCCCCCCATTTTTTTGGTACAAAAAATTTGTCTTTTCTGAAAAAAGTTTCTTGAAATGGTTGGTTAACCTGATTGTGGCTAACTGTGACAGAGTGCGCAGGGGTGCGAGGACATGGGGTGTTTGCTTGTGGCGCGGCCCGTAGACTGCGCCAGCCTATTACTCGGGTGCCACCATAACGGCTTCTCGCGTTATCAACATTGTCTCAGGGAAAGAATCAAAGCTTAACTTTAATCAGAATTATTTTCAGAGTTTAAAGAAAAAAATAATTTTGTTTCCAAGGGCAAATTTTTATAATGGCATTTTCTAAGTAACGGAAAACCCAAGACGAAGAAAAAGCATAGATTTTAATCTCTGTTTGTTGTCGTAATAAGAAATAAGAACTAAGAAGAAGGAACCTGCAACAGGCCTACGGGCCCCATGCGAGGCGGGCCCAAGTCACCTCCCGGCTTAAGCCATTCCCCCAGCCTGTCAGTCGGTCACTTCATTGGGGGAAAGAACCGGCAATGCCCTATAGCACAAACAAACCAGGCCCAAAACTAAACCCCCACCCACACCCACTCATTTATTTTTAACCTATTTTTAAAACTACACAACGTTCTAGCCTCTAAAACTGTAGGGGATTTTGTTCCTTTCTTACAACTCTTTCCCCAAAAAACCATGTTTCCTATCCCCTTCCGAATCTGAATTTTTCCAACTTAAAACCATTGCACGAGCCCTGTTAGGCTATATATTTTCAGCACGCTTTTTACTCCTTTTTATTAATTCCTGTCTTCCATTTTTACACCCAGTCATTCCCCCCAAATTCTATGCCATTCCAGAGAGTGCAATTCAGTCCCCTCATTCTGTCCTCAAAAGGGGAAGTTTTTCTGATACTGGTATAAACCCCTTTGTATCCTCCTTTGTATTTTTTCCCAGAGCATTTGTACCATTCGTAATCGGTGCCCAAAACTGTGCAGCAAAAGGGCCCTAACCAAATATATAAAGAGTTGAAGAAAACTGAGGACTTATTATTTAAGCTTCTTGAATGAACCCAAGGATTCTTTTGGCTTATTGGGAAACACTTATGCACTGTTTCTTGGTTTCGGTTACTGCAACCAAAAAATCCTAATTTTCCCCGCAATCCGAATATTAAGATCACTTTATTTCGTTTATATGTGGTATGGTTATTTTCTTGTCCAACATTAAAAAACTTTGCTTTGTCTATAAACTGCATTGCCCCCTTCTCCGACCTTTTGCATCAGTCTTTTAAAATTTTTCCCTGGGTGCTTAATGCCCTCGTAGAATGAATTCGAGGGGCCTATTTTGGTGTCATGGGCAAATTTGCTTATGTCGCTCTTTGTGCCCTCTCAATGTCGTTTAGTAGATTGGACCAACAGGGGGGGCCCAACATACCCCGTGGGAAAAATCGTGACACTTCCCCCCTTGATTTTTCCCCCTTTATGCAAACTCCTGTGCCTATTTGTCAATCATGCCTCTTTCCCGGAAAAATTCTCCTCCTATTCCATGTGCCCTTAATTTTCCTCAAAAGTCTCGATATGGGACCCTTCGAAAGCCTTTCTGAAATCCTATACACAAACAAATTCATTACTGATCTACCTCCCAAATACCCTTTGTGAAAAAATTAAAAAAATTTTTGAAGGCAGGAACGCCCCCTTAGAAAAAACCCTTTCTGAGTTCGTTGATTAATTTTGCTTTTTAAGGTGGCTGCGAACTGCCTCGGCAATTATTGATTCCTAAATTTTCCCATATGGAGGTTAGGCTTATTGGTCTATAGTTCGAAGCAAGGACCTGTCACCTGCTGTGAAAATAGGAAATTACATTTGCCATTTTCCACTTTTCTGGCACCATGCCAGTCTGTAGTGATATGTTGTAAAGATTAGCCAAAGGTTTGCTAAGCTACTCTTTACATTCCTTTAGAACCCTTGCGTACAGTTCATCAGGGCCTGGGGATTTGTTAGGTTTTAATTCATCTATTTGCCTAAGGATGTGAGGGAAAAGTTCAATAGATAGGAGTAGCGAGGGAGTATATAGTAACAATAGTTTCATTGCCGTCTACTTGTTAAGGCTATTCCCGCCTTTTCTCCCCCACCCCTAAAGTGATAGTTTGAATGCCGGCTGCTTGTTAAGGTAGGGTCAGTCTAGCTCCCGCTATCCCTTCCCCTCCTTCTTCCCCTCCCCGAAAGGTGACGTGTGGGGCTCCGGCCCAAACAGTAATCACTCGACTCACAGGTCCCAACACTACTCATGGATGACAGAGAGGGTCACCTGTCAATCAACGAGAAAAACTGAAGGAGACGGACTGACGTCCTGGAGACATCCCATATTGGATTTACTTGCCTGTGCACTTGTATGAAGAATCAGGACATAACCCCTCATCATTACAGTGGTCAAGAACCTGATCTCCTGTCATCGGAAAAGATTATTTACGGCCACTAGAACGAGCCAGCAGGTTGTCACCAACAACTGCGACCCTTCCCCCACATCATCAGCAACGGCTACTATTGCAACAACACGCAGTGTCACCAACACCAGACACCCAAGTTTTTAGCGTTGTATTCAGATATCATTTATATTTTTCATTTTTCATTTTCTTTCATGTAGGATCAGTATTTCATATTTAAGTGTTTTATATTTAATAATGAAGTGTTTATATTTGTCAGTTTTTGTTCTTTTTCTATTCATTAATTTTCCTGAGGAGGAGCCCAGCCTTAGTAATACTGACTGATAGTTGTTACAGAGCTGTGTAAGCCTGCACAAGTGGCGGACCTTGCCAGGATCAACTTGACTGAATCAAGATTCAATTCCATCTCTAATCTACCATTGGAACTTCAATGCTGCATACCACAGACGGTTACCACCAGCCATGAGTAATCATTCTCTATGGTAGGACTACGGGTTACAGGTTTTTAAAAGATTTGGTGTTTGTTATAGTCTTAATTTATTGTAAGCAAGTCATGGCCAGGATATAATATTTATAATTCTGCCTCATTTTTGTGTGAGCTTGAAACTACTTTGTGAGGATATAGACTCTAGGGACCCGTGATTTTCAGTGACAATTGTTTCATTGAGCTCTTTATTATACTCATAGGGAACTGTCATAGGCACTCTTGATTGTTGGTGAGAAGATTGGTGGTCACAAAGTGACCCATTCCACTACTGTTTGCTCGGAGCCGGCATAGAACATTTCGTTTTCATTAATACATATTGTTTAATTGAAGTAGGGGACTTGAGGCCCTCTGTTTATTTACAGTTTGAGCGGAGCAGGATATTGAACCCTCCGTTTTTCTTTGATAGTCGTTTCAGTTTTCCACTGGTAGTTTAAGTTATTTTGCAAGTATGGATGAATACCAGTTTGGAATGAACGCTTGGAAGTAAGTTAGGAATAACAGGGAAAATTTAGAATCTTTCATTAGGCTAAGATCCAGGGAAAGAATGAGAGAGAGAGAATTGAGAGAGAAGAGAGGACAGTTAGAAAGAGAAAAGACCAAGAGGAAATGGACTCGAGAGAGAATCGAAAGAGGTAGACAAAAAAAAGAGCGTGATAGACTTGATCGTGAGGAAGAGCCTAAACTACGTGTGGAACAAGTTAAATTAAGGGTAACTTGAGAAAGAGCAAAGGATAGAGAATATGAGTTAAGGGAGAGAGAAAAGGATCGCGAGCTCCAGCAAGCTCGCATTGAATTAGAGAAATAAAAAGTTAACTTTCTCACAACAGCAATTAGATGAAGGGGAGTAATGGAACAACGTGCAGCTAGTGCACATTTTCCATCACCTAATTTGCCTCCCTTCACAGGGGGGGAAAGACATAACTTCATACATTATCAGGTTTGAAAATTCCGCTACCCTCTGTGAATGGCCTGCTGACACCTGGGCTCCCAGGTTGGGAAATGTTATTTTCTGGTACAGCTTTGAATATCTATGCAACTTTGTCGCACAATATCATAGGGTAATTATAACCTACTAAAGGGAAAGGCAATCCTAAAGCATATAGAAAAACCACTAATTCTTACAAGAAAGATTTCAGGTATGCCACCTTACAGCTGGCCAGAACTTTCAGCAGTTACAGGTAACACTTTTTCTTTTTGTTCGACTTTTGGATAGAGAGTAAGGAATTGTTCGCAGTTATGAATCTCTTAGAGACTTCATGGTTGCTGACCAGTTCCTCACAGCTCTCCTCACCAAGATACGAACATTAATTAGAGAACGAAAACTGATTAAAGCTGAGGAATTTTGCTGAGGCTGCTGACCTGTATGCTGAGGCTCAAAATTTTCCTATAAAGACCTAAAGGCATCGAACCCTAAGGGTAAGGGTTCATCAGACCTAAGAAATCAAAGCCTTCTAGTGGAAAGTAAATGACTTCTTTTATTCCGTTTTGTCATTTGTGTGGTGTTAAGGGACATAACCCTCCAGATTGTCCTTCTAAGAAGGTCCAAAAAGTTGGAAGATGTTTTAAAGACTGTAATGACCCAAACAACTTCCGTTCAGGAACAGTTAATGGACTTAATGTATCTTTCCATTTTACGAGACACTGGGTGCACATGTTAGTCATTTCTGATAAGCTGTTCCCTAACTTAAAGAATTCAATTCTCTGCTATACTTTCAGGTCTAATTGGGCCGTACGGACACTTTCCTAAATACGTTGATACATTAGGTCTAAAGGTTTCACAGGTTGGTCTGAAGCCGTATACTAGTCCTTCTCTATCTTGCTCTGTATTAATAGGTAATGTAAAGTTGCCATCTTCCTCTCTTGAGGTTGACCTTTCATCACAAATAGATGAATATAATTGTTCAGATCCTCTTCCTGTAGAGTCAGAGAAGCCCCTCGAAGTTCAGTTGAGACAATTGTCTCGCGGATATTCATGTGGGATATAAACCAGTGATGCTACTCCTCGAAAGCGCAGGAAGTTAGGATCACCGGTTCACTTGTTAGATGAAAAGTGAAGATATCACTACGATACTAATATGTCTTGTAGGGCTCAGCCAACGCCCAGGCTTCTCCTAATGTCCATCTTTGATTTTCCACTGATTAAGCGTTTAGATATATCAAAGGACTCTTTTGTCAATTTACAACGGAATTGCCTTCATTTCAGAATTGCCATAATGCGCCTAAACAAATCAAGTTATCCAAGGAAAACTTTTCATAAAATTTGAATATATAAAAGGTATCTTGTTCAAGTCAGTATTCAAATTAAATTCCTATGAGATTAGACTATTCCATCTTAGTTGTGTCCAAGTCAAATGCGAGAGATGTTTCTTAAAATGGCTCATGGACCTAGCAGTGGCCGGACATTTCTCGGTCGCTAAAACATGAAATAAAATTAGGGAAAGACCTATTTCTTGGCCAAAAATGTCCTCAGATGTCATACCTATTGTAGATCGTGTAAAAGTTTGCCAACTGTCATCCTCCCGACTGGTACTCAGGGCGAGTACCTTATGTCAAAAATGCCAGTCTTTACGGAACCTTTTGAAAGAGTAGCTATTGACAACGTTGGTTCTTTATCTCCACTTTTCATTGGGGGACATTTAGATATATATTAACATTAGGCTGGAATTATGCTTCGAGTTTCCCTGAAGCCGTTCCCTTAAAGCACATAATACTACAGAGGGTGGCTGAAGCACTTTTGTCAATCTTCCTCCGAGTGGGCATCCCTAGAGAAAATTTTTGTTCTGACCGTGGAACACAATTCACATCTGACCTTAAAGCAAACATCTTACCAACTTCTGGGAGTGAAGCCTCTCTTCACCACAATCCTTTCATCCCAGCTGTAATGGGAGGATTGAACGCCAGCATTCATTCTCAAGTCCATTTTAAGGAAACTTTGCTCCCTTAAACCTAAGGTGTGCTCATCGTTACCTACCTGTGCCTTTGTTTGCCTTGTGAGGCGAGTTACCAGGTGATCTTTGGGGGTTTTCACCTTTTGACTTCTCTATGATAGACAGGCCAGAGAGGCCCATTGTCTATCGCTTCATGATCTTATGGACTAATGAGAAGGGTAAACTGCTGAGAGGTTCAGTCTTCTTATCAGTTTTCTCCTTGGCCTTAGATCAAAACTTGAGGAGAACCTTCTATCATAGTTTCGAAGAAAACTAAGCTTGTCAATGGACCAGAAAGGATCAAAAGTCAGAGGAGAAGTTTAAGTAGGGGAAGAAGTTCTGTACTTTTTGCTTCAAGTCAAATAAATTATTAGTAGCATGGGAAAGGTCCATATTAAATGTATTAACAAATTTGGGGAAAGTTGACCTACGCTCATAGAAGTCAAGGGGAGCCTAAGCTTTATCATATCAACATCCTTAAGAAATGATTACCGAAGAAATTCGGTTAAATGCCTTCATAACTTTGACTTAGTATTTTCCACAGAACTTGATAGTGACAACGGAGAATGTAGATTGACACCTCTAACTCAGACTGTATGATGAAGAGACTACTGACTTGGTGATGCCACTCTGACCACTCGGACGCAACCAACATTAACTATTAATGAGTCCTTAGGATGACCATAAGAGACATGAACTACTTCAATGTGTGAGTACTTTTCAGAGTCCTTACTGTTATCCAGGTGTTACCTCCACGGTAACGTCCGTAGATTGAAATAGTGACGGACTATCCTATCAAACGTAAAATTATACCCAGTTCCAGTTCACCTTAGGTTGCATTTGACCGAGAGGTAGACAAATTATTAAAACTAAAGATCATTGAACCTTTCAGTATCTTCATATTGTTCACCAGTAGTCATGGTTAAGAAGGAGGGATGATACATATAAGACTTGCTATTGACTTCAGAGGACCTTAATGTATAACTCGGTGGGGATGCTGAGCCTATGCCCTTTAATTAGATAGCGATCTACCAAGATTTTAGTGACTCTTCCTTCTTTTCGAGATTGATTATTGCGGCAGGATATCTCAGTAAGTTAGAGATCCTTCTTTCGCAGTACTCAGCTTTTCCTACACACCAAAGGACTGATGCAATATAGACTATGCCCTTCGGTTGGTAATCTGCCTGTGCTACCTACGTGGAGATGATGAGAAAATGGTATGGGAAATATGCCCAAATGTTTTCAGTGTATTTGATACATTTACGTAATGACATCCACGGGGGGCTCGAACATATCCTAACATTTAGAACCTCAGTTTGCACAGGTTCGCTCACATGGCCTCACTGCCAAGACGAAGAAAGCTTCCTTGGGTATAAAAACAAGCTTAGATATCTTGCGACTGATACTTTCTGAATAAATACTCTTTGCAGCCTCTCCCCAGTAAGATCCAAAGCTTTATTAGAATTTAATTCCCCAAAACAAAGAAGCTCATAAGCATAGTTTCTGTGTTCTGTAAATTTTTATGCACGGTTTATCTTCGAAACTTACTGATCTTACAGGCATATGTATCCGGACTTCTTAAAAAGTCTGTGAAGGAAACTCTTGACTTTCCGACGTTAGTCGGCGGAAAGTTTAATGGAGATTAAAAGAAATCTTTTCGAAAGGACCCTATACTTAGATTCCAGAATATTAATAACACTCTTTTCGATTAAGAACTGATGCCTCGATACTGGTTTAGGTGCCAGTTGTTACTACAATAACCATGATGGTACTCCCTTCCCTGTGCTTCCTAAGCGTTGATATTCCTTCACCGCAGAAACGAGATACTCACCATAGTAAAGGAATGTTTTAGCCCTTGTGTGGGGGCATCTCCAAACTTGAATTTTATTGCTAGGAAAAGGAATTCATTTTAGAAACGGACCACAAACCTTGATATACATAGAAACTTTTAAGGGAAACCAATGGTCGCCCTCTTGGGTAGGTCATTGCGCAATCCATGGTTTTTAAGTTCCATATTGTGTATATCAAATGGTTCATCAATTAAAATTTCTCTGATGGTTAAGTCGTGACAGTCAGTTGAAGATTTTTGCTGACGCGACTTCACGTGTTAGAACTTTTTCCACGCTATTCGTTCTTATACTCCTTACGACTATAATGTCTGGTATGAGGGAGTGATTTGTGAGGAAATAAGTTCAATAGTTAGGAGTAGCGTGGGAGGAATATATAGTAAACAATTGTTTCATTGCCGGCTACTTGCTAAGTAGCGGCAAGTTCAAGCTCCTGCTTTCCCGCCTTTTATCCCCCCTCCCCGAAAGGGATAGTTTGTTTGCCGGCTACTTGTTAAGGTGGGTAAGTCCAGCTCCCGCTATTCCCGCCTTTTCTCCCCACCCCTATTAAAGTGATAGTTTGATTGCCGGTGGCTTGTTAAGGTAGGGTCAGTCTAGATCCCTCTATCCCCTTCCCCTCCTTCTTCCCCCCCGAAAGGTGACCGTGTGGGGATCGCCCAAACAGTAATCACTCGAGACTCACAGCTCCCAACACTTACTCTTGGATGACAGAGAGGGTCACCTAGTGAACAACGAGAAAAATGAAGGTGACGGACTTACATCCTTGAGGAGTCCCCATATTGGATTTACTTGCCTGTGAACTTGTTATGAAGAATCAGGACATTACCCTCATCATTACAGCCGTCAAGAACTGATCTCTGGTCATCGAGAAAAGATTATTATGTCCATCTAGAATGAGCCAGTGGGTTGTCTCCAACAAACTGCGGACTATCCCCAACATATTCAGCAACGGCTTCTATTGCAACAAAACGCAGTGTCACAACACCAGACACCCATGTTTTTAGCATTTAATTCAGATATCATTTATATTTTTCATTTTTCATTTTCTTTCATGTAGGATCAGTATTTCATATTTAAGTGTTTTATATTTCATATTTCCTAAATAATAAAGTGTTTATATTTGTCAGTTTTTGTTCTTTTTCTATTCATTAATTTTCCTGCAGGAGGAGCCAGCCTTAGTAATACTGACTGAAGCTGTTACAGGGCTGAGTATGCCTTCACAAAGGACCGTGTTACTTGTGACCCTAATCGTGCATAGTTTATTATCATCCTGTTCTACATAATTTATTATTTCTGGAATATCGCTAGTATCTTACTGTGGAAAAAAATGAGAGGAAGTATGTGTTAAAAATTCTTCACATTTCCTTATCACTATCCGTGAGCTGACCCGAGTAACTTGTGAGTGGGCCTACCTTGTCCCTGATCTTACTTCTGTATACCTGAAAGAATCCTTTTGGGTTAGTCTTTGATTATCTGCACACTTTAACATCATATCTCTTTTTACTTTTTCTTATCCCTTTTTTATTTCTCTCTTAACTTGATTTTATTCTTTTCTTATTGCTCTCCTCTTTGATTTGCTTATTTGTGCCTCTCTTTTGACAATGAGATGTTTTAATCTATTGTTCTTAAGATTTTAGCGGGTTTTTTTTCCAAATTCAATTCAAATTCAAATTCAAAGTTTATTCTCTATTAAGGTTTACAATGCTGAGTTTAACAGAAATTTGGTTATTGTGTGGTTACCTGTAGTAAAATTTGATTACAGAGTGTACCACTAGAACGCTTAGCATGGCTAGGCAATTCGCAGGGGCAGACTTAGTTTTATTCTTAATTGTAAAATATTACAAAATGAAGGTAAGTTTGTATTATGGCCTAAGTGACTAAATACTAGTTTGTGAGTTTCGCATGTGAATGCTTTTGTTTTGGCACAGTACATAGTGTCAGTATTGGAAGTATCACAGGATTTATTATTTTAAGGATTGAGATTATATTTCTGTGTATGGTTAAAATGATGTGGAGTGAGTGTAAGTGTGAACCACCAGGTTGGTATTCGTGTAGTGTTTGACGGCGGGGTGTATACAGGGATGATAAGTGGTTTTTAATGGCTTAGTTTGAAGGTGAGGAAATGTGTCTGCAGTTCTAGAGTTCTCAGGTAGGATATTCCAGATTTAGGCCTCTTGACATACATTGAATTTTTGTAAAG